ATGCAGATTTAATGGAGTGCACATCACCGAAAGCAACAGATATGAGCTGCATTTTATTGATCGTCAGCTAATTTCAAAATCAAAGACAGCAATAAGAGAGAGCGCACTTTACTTCTTTCTTTTCTTCGACTTACTTTCACTTTGAGTTGCGTTGGTTTACATGTTGGTTTGATGAAGAGATGCTCAGCTGCGGTAACGCGTGTTGTAGTAGCGTCGTCATATCTGACCATAACATTGACATATAGCTTATATAACATGCTCTCACACGTTTATTTTTTTAGCATTTTTGGGAGTAAAATTTACATATGGGGTTTTCAACAAACCAAATGCATTTACACATGTCCAGTTTCGTCTGGAATGTGGCCCAGACCTCCTGAAGTGGTTTGAGCGATCGGATTCAAAACCGTCTCTAATGCGTTTCGGATCACAGAAGTGGCCGGGTGTTAAAAAGACCCAAAGTCACGCATCAAATGTGTGCCAGATCACGTCTAAACCACATGGTTGGTTCATACATGTCTATGTTTAATGGTGTATATAGTCTAGGCACTTACCAGTTCTTTGTTTTTTTTCCTTGGTGGGGCCTTTGCTCACAGCGAGATAGACGGGTGTCTGCTTGGGTGGAATTGTGACCTTCTCAATGTGCTTCCTCCACTGGGTCTGAAACAGCTCGCTCTTTTTCTCTTTCTCCATGTTGTACTGTTTCTCCTGTGAGAAAGAGAGTATGTTAAACGCTCAGGAAACACATCTGACATGCTTCTAGGAAGTAGGGGTCGACTGATATGTGATTTTCAGGGCCGATGCCGATACCGACTATTACAGATCAAATAGGCCAATAACCGATATATGTCTGGTGTAAAAATGTAAATTAATGTCAAAATTAAGAATAACAAAGGGTTTTGAATACTTTCTTTAAATGATTTTAATTGTATCTTCGAATCTGAGAACAGCTATTAATAATTATATTTATAATAACTTAAAAATAGCAGGAACCACCCAGCAGCATTCTGTAAACATTTTGTAAAACTTACAGACTCTATTTTAATGTTTAAATTAACAGATGTGGCTTCATTAGAGCCAAATATAGCATATTTCAGAATAAAATTATTTTATCGGCTAATCGGTTTTGAAAACGGCCGATACCGAGAACCATAAAAATGCTTAATATCGGCGCCGATAATCGGTCGACCCCTACTATGAAGGATAATCGTGTAGATGTTGGTTCCTCAAACCTACCCTGTACTCTTTTGAGAGTCTCTTCATTTTGTTGTTGAGGAGGAAGTAGACAGCCAGCGTGTGGCAAGCTTTGTTAGTGAGCACCGCACTCAGAACCTCACTGTGTTTGTAGCCCATTTTCTCAGTCATGTGGAGCAGAACCGTATGGTTGATCTCCTCAATGTGGATTCTGAGAGTTAAAAGGAGATGTTTCAGGTCACAATGTCATAAAACGTGGAATAAAAGCAATTTAGCTAAAAGCATATTAGATGACCAACCTATTTAAGTAAGGAACTCCAGTGTGAGGGTTGCCCAGCTGCAGCCACGAGTCGGTCATCACTTGGTGGATGTTGGGTCTCTTGTCAGGGTCAGGCTCTAACAGTCTCTTCAGCAGATTGACCGCAGCTGTGAACACAGAGAGGAAGCAGTGAGGACTTTGTGGCATGTTACTTTAAGTAGACAAAAAAATGAAGCATGTCCTTGTCAGCGGACAGAAGGAGAAGATACAAGTAGCTCAAATTACAACGCTTTATGATCCTTGGTCAGGCTCTACGTTTAAATGATGTATTAGGTCAAATAAATCATTATTTATTGGGTCAAACATATAATGCTGTGGCCATTATGATTCTCCTACACCTTGCATTAGTCAAGGAATGACCGCACAGCCTTGCGTCCTTGAGATGCTAAATTACGGCGTTACATAATGAGGCTAATCTCATTTCAACAGTGCATCATCCTGTAGTAATATATCCCGTCACAGATTTAGTAGTGAATGAATCACTTGTTGTTTCACGTAAGTGTAACGCAATCGTAATCGACAGAATGTGATTAACCACAATGTTGACGGTATCATCTATTCAAGATAATTAATCTGGAATGCTTGCATCATTTAGGTCAGTGAAATACAATGGTAATGCATTCTACTCTATTCAATGGTAAGATGACTTAACTACATACTATGGAAAAATCTTACATCTTTGGAAGGTGTACAAACAGTATTAAAAAAATCTGAATAAAGCAGATCCTATAATTTCTTCTTGAGAATAAAAAATAAGCCGCCCCTTGTCTGGCACATTTGCAGTAAACACTATTTATGAGCTGAGTACAATTTGTTGCCATTAAAATTAACCATGCAAAGTTAAAAGAGAATTACACAACGGTTACACAAAGTAAATGCTCAACCACTGTTGTAAACCTCATTATAATGAAATAAAATCTTATAAGTATCTAAATTATGACCTACAGTATATAATGATTTCATAAAAATGCTAATGGTGTTGACAGTCGGTAATGTTTTTTCTATGGAATACAGGTTTACAAAATATCATATAAAGTCAGAAAACTAGATGTTTCATGAAGACTCTATTTTAATAGATTTTATTTAATCTCCTGGGATATTTAAAACACAAGTGGACACCAGACCATCCTTATTTTTTTCAATTAAGCATTCAGAAGCACCATACTGGACTGAAAAAGAAAAATCACAAAGACTGCATTCATGCTCAACTTTTGGAGCATGATACCCATTAGAATGTAATTGGTGGGAGTACACAGGCTAATTTTCAGCATGTTATAGTTGCTTGTTCTTGTAAATATCTTTTTACAATTCTCAGATGGATTTCTGTCAATACCTGAAGAGATAGATGGAGGTAGAGGGTTCATATCTTTGTCCACCATCCTCTGATGCAGAGCTTTTAGGCTGAATGGCTCCACAGTGAATGGTAGGGTACCAGTCAGCATGGCGTACATGTTCACCCCTCTACAAATAAACACATACAGAGTCAAATCCAGAAAATGTACTCAATGTGAGCTTGGAACATGGTGCTTCACATTTAGCAAACTCACATTGACCAGACATCCACTTTAGGCCCATATTTCTTCCTTGAGAGAAGCTCTGGTGCGGCGTATGCTGGGCTGCCACACTGTGTGCTGAAGGGATCAGAGTATCCCAGAATTCCTGCACAGTTACTGAGGCCAAAATCTGTATGGGGAAACAGAGAGATGGTTGTTAATGTGTACGGGCTCATAGAGGGATTGACTTTAAATACCTTCCCACTAGGAGGGATGCAGAAGTGTACATGGCTTCCCAACAACACTAACCATGTCTGTCACACACAACTGCTAAATAAAGGCAATGTGTTTGCCAACAGCTTAACAGAGAGGTGAGAGGTTGTTCGGTTTTAATGAGATTCTGATTACTCAATCATGCTAAAGATGAACACTTGCATGTCACATCACTTTAGGTCATTAGGACTTAATGTGACGTTCTTTGAGTAGGCCTGTCACGAGAAAACATTGCATAATGTAAATTTCATACGATGCTTACCGATCAGTTTTATGTTGTCCTGTTCGTCAAGGAGGAGGTTTTCAATCTTCAGGTCTCTGTTGAAATAAAAACAAAACTAATCAAACAACTTTCGTCAACCGTATATAAACTATAAACAAACTAAGCCACTATAGTCTTTGAATTGGTTTTACTGCTCATTGTGCTCTAAAATAGACTTATATACATTACAGAGCATCTAAACATGGTTTCGTAGTTTTCAGAATTAATTTCTCTTTTGGAAAGTCTCTTTTTTGATGACCACACCCTGTGACGTTTTGTTTCTCACCTGTGAACAACTCCTGCCCTGTGCAGATGCTCCACCGCCATGACTAGCTGGCGTACGTATTTCTGGGCTTCTCTTTCATCCAGCCTTTTCTTCTCATAAATGTGGTTCATGAGGTTTCCACCAGGGCAGAGCTCCATGACGAGGTAGTAGCTGTTCTCCGTCTCCAGGATGTCCAGCAGTTGGGTGATGTGTGGGTGTCGGATCATCTGCTGAATCTGTCCTTCACGCCGCAAGTTCTTTGTGACGTACGAATCCTTTTTGGCCTTTCTCTTGTCAATCACTTTTACCGCCACCTGTGAAGATACATAAAAAGGAGATTTTGTCAGGATAGAAAACATAACAGGATTGTTTATTGATCTTCTTACGTATGGAATTATCCTAACAGCCCTGAACAGGTGAGGTGAGCCAGACTAAGACAGATGGGACTCTTATTTCACATTTGTCGGTCTCCTCACGTCTCCAGGGTTGAATGTTTGACCCGAGTTCCTGTGGAGGACTCGGTGGGGGAGGGATAAGGACAAATGACCGATTTGTAGCCGTTAAAGCACCTCCAGTTGAATGAAGAATGTCCAAATGGCCTGTTAATGCCACCCATTTGTCACCAACATGCCGTGAACCACTAATGCTCTATAAACATTGCGTTAAAAAAAACCTTGCCACCTCAAAAACACGTTCACGAACAATGTAATGTAGCATAGCATGCATATGTAAGTGAATTAGCTCATTTGTTAATGATTTTCGATGTTTTTTTTTTTAATTAAGGTGGGAGGGTCTTTGTTCTTTATCAAACAAGATTTCTTTGTCCTGGGTAAAATGTCCCTCTTTGTGCCGTAACAAAGCCTGGTGCTATTGGTTCCGCCCTTGATCAAAGAGCCCCAGAGCGCGACCCGACGAGGGTTCAAGGGGTGACTTGTTGTGCCACCACAAATCATCAGGCGCAAAAAATATAATGTTGAGCAAACCGACCATTTGAGCAGATAATTGGACCAATTTCTCCAACTGAGGAGCATTTTAAGGGAGGAACTGAGGAAAAATCCCCCCAAATGCTAATCCGACATTACTGGATCTTAACCGTCGTGTTTTGCAGGCATTGTTGATAAGGTCAATTGGTGGTCGATGGTTAAAGGGGGGGGGGGACCCCCGGAGCCTCAGACTAACATGTTGTTTTTCTCTCAGGCAGACAAAGGCGGCGAGGGTGAAAGTGGGTTAGGTATGCTCACAACAGACATGGGGGAAGCATGTGCTATCGCCCACCAACCGTGAGCCCCGCCCCACCCTGTCTGTTTTTCTAGGTGATGTCAGAGAACGAGAGCGAAGCAGGAGACGAGAGGAGCACGAGGCAGCCTTGCTTCTCTTTGTGATTGCTAGGCGTTTGCATCATCACCCCGGACAGACCTCTTCTCCTTTCCCACAGCAATAGCATAAGAGGACTGAACAAATCTCTAATATGCTAAGAAGGTATTTCAGGTCACTCACTAGAAGGGCAAACTACTTTTTTTTTTTTTAATATTAGTATGCAACTAGAAGGTTCCCCCAGAACATTATACAAAGGAAGACAGCAGCCAGTTATAAAGAAAAAACACACCCTACTCATGAATGAAGTGACATTCACAGTCAACAAACAATAATTAATAACGTCATAAAACTCGCCCTAGAAACCAGGTATCCTGTCTAACTGAGTAAAACACACACTGAATATAAATTATGCTGATTATGTATATAAACAACAACAAAAAAAAATTATCTATTTATTCTGAAAGGCTGGGTAATCTGAAATTAATACAGACACCTGGATGCAAACAAGGCTCAAGGATTGCCTCTGTTACCCTATTTAACCTGTATGAAGGGGAACATGAGACCAATGAGAAACATCTCAACTCAACCTGATGATCAGGGGATGATGTTTCTGCTATTCTTCCCCAAATAGCCAACACAAGCTGATTCCTGGGTACTTTTAAAATAAAATCCAGCTTTAAACTTAATATTCACATTGATGGAAAACATTTGTTTCAGAATAAATCACTAAATAGCAAATATAACAGATAATTCAACTCGCGGTCCATAGACCATTGACACTGAGGGGGGTTTGACCAAAACAATTCAGACAGATGTTATTTCTCTTTTTAACTTTACATTTTCATATTCAGACAAACGGATAAACTGAATGTAGTGAAAAACAAATGCGAAATCATTCTAGTCAGGTCTTGGTTGGATTTTTTGACCAATTTATATCGACTGGATGCTGTTTCTATTATTATGGCATTTTCTTTTCAGTGTCATTTAGGTGCAATTGAGCAATTCTTCTTTACAATAATTCTCTTAACAATTCTTCAAAGCTTCTCACCTTCTCGCCGGTGGTCGCATGAAGCCCCTCTCGCACTTTGGCGAACGAGCCCTCTCCCAGCTTCCTCCCGATCAGATAATTCCCAACTCTTTTCGTGTGGTAAAAGTTTCGGAGGATGTCAGCTGGAGGACCGTTGCTTAGAGACGAAGGGTGGATGTTTTCTGTGGCTACCGGAGCCTTAGCTTTCATCCCGAAAACCCTCCCGCTGTCCGTACCCATGTCTGTTCCAGCATCGGGCATCCCTGCGCCTGTTGTGTCCTCTGAATCAACTGCTACTGCTTACTATGAGCTCTATGAGAATGAGACATCTGAATCCCTGTCCCTAATACTAACCTGACACACGCACCACCTGTTCGGTTCAGCTGTCAGTCAATCCGCAAACTGTTAAGATTGTAGGCTAATAGTTTTACGTAACTATTACATTCGTCATGGAATAATGAAAGCTAATCGGTCCTAATCTAAATAACGCCTCATTAGTATACCGATCGTTCCGAATGACAAAGCTAAAAAAGATTCCAGCACCTCTCTCTATCTGAGAACTAAGTGAATGTCTGGCTGTCGAGTCTCTCATATTTGTTATTTGAAGTTAGTTTCCCGGCACGGGGTGGGGGCGTTTCTTATTTGCTAGCAAATCTTTTCTCAGTCACTGGGTTAAAATCTAATCCAATCAGCACCCGCGCAGGGACCAGAGGCTCCGCCCTGTTCTGAGTTGTAAAATGACCCCGCCTCTCACACATGCTTACCTAGACAACAAAGAGCATGTTGCTGAGGGGTCAGATTCGCAGTGATTCTTGATTTCTATCAGCTTTCCCCAGTGATGGTTTACGTATTTCGCTTTTGCCTGACCTATTGGTCGTGACTAAATTATCTATTGATTATTCATTCAAATGAGACGGACATGCTAATGTACACAAACACGTTTTGCGCTGTGATGTCATGTCGAGCATTGATTTTATTTTCTTTAACTAATTTGCTATGCAATTCACCTCATCAGATATAAGTACACTTATATTATTATATGCGCATTTTACTTTACATTTAGCACGTTATAGGCTAGCTACATAAATTCATCCATGTTTTATTTTACCTTTGTTTTGCCAGTTTCTTTTGTTTCCCCTTAAATATTTCTACATTACCTCACTCTATTTTTTTATGTCTATTAAATAGTGGCAATATAAATCCGGACAGTCACAGGCTAGTATAAATGATAGGCTAATCGAAAGACCACCAAATAAACCCCAAATTCCATTAATTATACTCTGCCTCTTCGTATTTTGTAAATGAATGCCTTGGTTTTCTTCAAAGTGTAATGTTTTAGCTATGACTACTACCCTGACATGATTAATAGATCTTCACAACAATGGAAGGCTGGCTTTTAAAGGGATAGTTCACTTTAAAATGTAAATTCCGTCATCGTTTACTCACCCTAGTATTTTTTTTCCTACTGTGAAAATCAATTGTTCCAGTTAACTGTTTGGTTACTGATATTCTTAAAAATATATTTCCTTGTGTTCAGCAGAAGAAAGAAATTCATACAGGTTTGAAACAACTTGAGGGTGAGTAAATGATGACGGAATTTTCATTTTAAAGTGAGCTATCCCTTTAACAATATTGCGTCACCACAGTCCAGCTAGCCGGCAGCTTGTTTACATTACCATGCGGTCATGAGCGGGCGATGTACAGACAAATGACGGTGAGTAAGTCTATTGCGCTCTCTAGTGGTAATGTTGCGTAGGACAAGTACTCTCTCTCTCTCTCTCTCTCTCTCTCTCTCTCTCTCTCTCTCTCTCTCATTCTCATTCAAAGCTCATGTTCCCTTGTCATTCTCACCATTATTTTTCAAAGTAATGACTGTCTTTTCTCTTGGCTTAACTTGAGTGTTTCTGGCTGTAATATGGATTTGTACAGTAGTTGTGGTAGCACTAATAGGGCTAAACAAATTTAGGTTCTGAGAACATTCTGGGAACGTTAGTTTTTGGTTCCCAAAACGTTCCTAGAACTTTCCCTTAAGGTTAAGGGAACGTTCCCAGAACATTCTCCCTACATTATAAATATGGAACCTAAAAATAACCTACATGGAACGTTCCTATAACGTTCTTGTTTGGTTCCCCCAAAAAATAACTTCATGGGACCATTCGGGAACGTTAGGGGAACGTTCTGTGTTTGCTGAACACGCCCCAGACATTGTAAGGTCATGATTGAGAATATGGTCCACAATATTGGACCTTATTTCATCAAAATCATGTCAACAATCTAGGCTTCTTCTTCTATCTCTCACTGTCTTGCCTTAATATCCTTCAACCACGCATCCCTCTGTTGGGCTCTGTTACTCCGGTTGTTGACCCTGTTTGTTTAATTGTTGTTCTTCCACGGTTGTGTTGTGTTCTGTCTATATGCTTGCTAAATGAAGGTTCAAGACATGCACATTAAGCTGTTTTAGAAAACTGGAGGATTATTGGTTGATGTAGCCCTTTACATTTCCCTTCATTCAAAATTTACCTCAGCAATTCATCCATTCAGGACACATATACAACAACAACAAAAGAAATGTGTAGAAAATATGCTTAATATGCTTGACAGTTTATGGCAACAGCTCAACCATTTTGTATAGAACTAATACCAAGATGTTTCAAGGGTGAAGTATATTCAACAGGGACATAAGCAGTTGATAATTTAGTAAAAGCAGACAACTGTCAATTGCATGGATGTACCAAAGCATTTGCAATTTAATTTATTTATTTTATTTTTAAATTATAATTTTTTTTAGTTGCTTGGCCCTAATCCTCTTCCGTAGAGAAATGCATCAAATCCCTTTACTGTCTATGATCAAATCGACTGAGAAAAACAAAATATTTACCCCCAAAGATCATTGCTACAAAAGACGACGTAATCATGATCTGCCGCTGCTGACCACCAGAGGGCGCTCCTCACCAGCTGGATAATTAGAGCTGGCCAATACTGCAAAATTAGGTATTGATCTGATCTCAAGTAAATGAAACACAGGTCAGAATTTAACTAAGAATATAATTTGCAATAATTTAATTTTTACAAAAATGGTCAAAAGACGCAACAAAAAATTTAATCAAAGTCAGTGCGTAATTTTAAATTACAATAAAGGGAAAAAATAATTAAAATGACTAAATACAGAAGGTGTGACGCATTCAGATTTAGATGTTGTTGAGCTGTCATATTGTTTGAGTTGTTCTCTTGCTGATCTGAAGTGGGTTACTGTGATGTTGAATTTTAGTTTTATGGCCTATAATTTTGATGTTTTAATTTGATTTGGGATTTCCATTTCAGAGTTAATAATGCTAAACAAACCAAAAGCTCCAATTTAAATGATTGAACTACAAGGTAAAAGAATTAAATATCTACAAACTATAAACTACAATTAGAATATAAATAGGTATAGATGATTTAAATAACATCAGAGTTGAATGTCACTTCAATATAAAAGAAACAAATCATTATTTATTTAATTATTAATTTATTTCATTGTTGTAATTTTATTTAATCTGTATTCTGTCAATCATAACAATAAAAAAAGCATAGTAAAAATGTATATTGTGTGAATCTGAAACTTTAAAGTCACAGGAAACCAAAATAAACTTAAAAACTGAAGTGGTGAAAATAGTGTCAACAAATTTGAAATAGATGTTTATTGGCTGTAGTTCTAATAAACTCATTGTGGTTTAACGTCAGGAATTTGGAAAATGGTCACAGCTCATTTCTTTATAACTGCAAGGAATGTTGTGGCGTGCAAACAAATGAAAGATGGCAGTTCCACTGAACCTGTGCATGCAATTTGCATATTAGCAAGAATGAACTGGCAAATCCTGTTTTGAGCTACACTATGATTAGAGGTTTTGTCTCTGTAGTTCTTCAGTGGAAAACAGTGGGTCATATCATGAGTTCAATGGATCAATATGCTAAATCTAAATACATTTTCATGACCACTACAAGATTTTGTGATTTGTGCTTTTGACACACTTTAATGCACGTTTGGATGGTATATGGTTACAAGAGGTAAAAATGATATAAATACTGTTCGTTTTCTCACACAAACCGCTCGTTTCGTGTCTTAGGCCATCAATGTGTACATTTACGAGTCATTAAATCATGTTTAATTTCGACTTCTCTGTGCATGCTCTTTGAGGTGGTGACCATAGACCTCCATTATATGACTGACAGACAATAACGGTTTGACCTAAAAATATCAAAATTGAAACTACTGCAGAAACAAAGTCACCTACATCTTGGATGCCCTTGAGGTAAGCTAAAACATACCAAAAATTAATTTCAAAGTCAACTATCCCTTTAACTCATCATTAGTTCATAGTAAAGTAATTATTAATAATAATTAATTATTATAAGGTATTGATAATAATTCATGTACTATTATTGTAAAGTGTTACCGAATTGGCATACAATGGTTAGTCTACTTACGAGACACTACTACTTAAGAGACAAAGACAAACCCTCCAATAGTGTAGCTCAAAATGGGATTAGCCAGTCCATTCTTGCGTATGCTAACTGCATGTATGGTTCTATGAAACAGCCGCCTTTGCATTCGTTTGCACGCCCCAATTCCTTGCAGTTGTGATGAAAAGAACTGGCATTTTTGAGTTTATCAGAAAGACAAGTTCTTAGGCCAAATGTTAGAACAGGTAGTTCAGTTTAATTACAGTTATTGTGTTGTCATCTTGCTTTTATGACATTGCATTTGAGTTATATTGCAAAGGGAAAAGACGACAGCTTGAGCAAACTCGATTGACCATCCTGGTCTTGAGCCTGTTTGTTTAAATGTGTATTCTCTTCAGAAACCATGTACTATTTATTGAGCCGATTATTGGCACAAACTAATGACTTTAGCTATTTTCTTCAGGAAATGTCCTTCAAAAATGAAATTTAACCATGTCCACAGTGACTTAGATGGCAGGTGCTTTGGTAGACATTTTCTGTTACCCAGGGAGTGACATGCTGCCAAGATGGCGATGGCCGGCTCAGCCCACTTTAGGCTTGACGATAACTCCACATCAGCTACATACATGTAAAATAGTCACCCTCAAAAAGGAGCTATTTTAACATGCTATAAAAATGATCTGTGGGGTATTTTGAGCTAAAACTTCACATAAACACTCAGTTTCTCATGGGAAAAGTGTACAGAGTTACACAAGGTTACCTGTTTCTCTGTAAATGACTGTTAAATTTTAGTTTCTGTGACAAACTCTTTTAATTACCATCAAAAATTATAGTTTTATTTAGAGCCATTTTATGTATTTATGAACAAAAAAATACAACTGAAATTTAGGTATCGTGCATTTATTGGTGTAAAAAAAGCAATACATGCTGCATTAGAAGAGAAAATTCAGCACACAAATAATGATCTTTAAATATATTCAAAATCTTTTTTGGAAAAACTTGGAAAATCAATACAAAACTTACAAAATACCTTCAAAGTTATCTTCACCATAAGACGTGGCACCCAAAAACTGACATCACTTTGGGGGGAAAATGCCTGGTGTGTATGGCAAAAGTGCAGTTGAGATCAGAAAAAAAGTTTTTCACAGCTCATAAGTTTTATTTGCACATGAATGTTTTGTTTTGTGTTTGTTTATTTATTAAATTTGCTGAAACCAGTGAACGTTTAACATAAAAACTAAATTCAAAAATAAACTAACACAAAACAAAAGTAAAGCGGCAGCCCTTTACTTTCAAAATTCAAGATATTTAAGGCTATTCAAAATGCGCTACAGGAGAAAAAACGAGAAATGTTGGCTTCCACTAAAATATTGACGTTTCACTGCATGTTTCAAAGTAAGGCTATTGAAAATGTGAAGCATTGACTTGACTTGACAATTTAAATAAAGTAAGAGCTTAAAAATCACTAATACTGTTTTCTCAAATAAGTTCACTATCAGAAGTCTTTGTTGTATTACTCTACATCAACATATATTAGCACACACTTTATTGTGGGCAGTGACAGCTTTGTTTCACAGAAGAATTGTGCATTAAAGGTTGCTACATGGCACTTAGACTAGAAGCCTGTTGAACGTGCTGCTGCATGTGAACTTGGCTTTCAGTGTCTACCGTCCTGAGGCTTTTTTACCTCAAGATCTATTTGTGTTATATATGTTCTCTGCAAGCTATGTATGACACGCCTTCCCGACAAACTCCCCGCGGGGTTTGCAGTGTATTTTGCGTGTTACTGCAAGCAATGTTGATGAGAGAATATGGTATGGAATACATGTGATTTTATGTAATCGAAAAGTTCTCATCCTCAGCACAGGGTTTTGAGAGCCCCTGAGGCGCAGAGCAGAGTTTGCATATGGTATTGAGTTGGAGACTCCACTTCCACGTAACCGCAGGCTCTGGCTTGAAGGGGGGCAGCTGGAAGCTGAAGGGCGGCAGGTATAGTTCAAATCTGCCCGATACCCATGAAAGGGAACTTGCTGCGGTGCTGAGGGCTGTCGGGTTCTTCGCTGCTGGGAGGGCTACCGCTTGAATCTGAGGAGCTAGACCAGTCTGAAGTGGGAGGCTGTTTCTTGAGCTGAGGTTTGACGATGATGGGATTGTGAAGGGATGTTCGGGGGGTGGATCTCCAGCATTTCATAGAGGAGGACCTGATGCAACCACCACGTCCTGAGTACACATCTTTAAAACCTCCAGTCACAGCTTTCAGATGACCTGAAATTGATAGGAGAAAGTTTGATTTAGAGCAGATCCAACTCATGTCTTTATTTATGTTACTGTCACACAGAAAGTCTCGTGGCCTAGAGAACGTATTTTGGAATTGACATTTTAAACCACTTTAAGGAAAGACGTTGTATAATGTTTCAACTGTTTTTGTTCATACAATGAAAGTCAGGCAAAACAGCCATGGACCCAATTGATTTTCATTAAATGACACCTGCACGTCATCTCCAATCACACACATCTGCATGTACGTAAGAGTACGATTTTCCAGATTGTGTGAAACAGGTTTTCAAATGAAGTCATCTTTAATCTTCAACTTCGATGTGATAACAACCTGAACAGCTCTGAAGGGTTTTCATTTTTCTCTGTTGGATTTACTGTCGATTATGTTTCCTGTTGATTATTTATGTCATTCATTTGGTTAATCGATTGATCTAATGATTATTTATTTCCCCGGTTAATCTTTTGTTTATTTTCTGAATAGCAGATTTACCAATAAATAATAATAACCAATAATTTAGCATAAAATAACTGTAACTATTCTATGTATTAACTTTTACCTAATGAGATTATTTATGGCAAAAGATGATGCAGCGTAGGCATAATTAGGAAAGGTGTTTATTATAGACCTTTTCAGTGGTATCCGCTGTATAAAGCTTTTAGATCACTTATAATTTATAAGTGATTTTTGTCTGCTGAAATTTCTCCGAAAGATATTTTTCATTGTTGTGTCAAGACTTGTTCTCTTCTGACCCTAGCAACGCCCCTGTGCCAGATCACGTCTTAACCACATGGTTGGTTCATACATGTATATGTTTAACAATGTATATAGTCTAGGCATTTACCAGTTCTTTGTTCTTTTTCCTTGGTGGGGCCTTTGCTCACAGGGGGATAGACGGGTACCAGCTTGGGTACAGCTGAAGGATAAACGTGTAGATGTTGGCTCCTCAAAACTACCCTGTACTCTTTTGAGAGTCTCTTCATTTTGTTGTTGAGGAGGAAGTAGACAGCCAGCGTGTGGCAAGCTTTGTTAGTGAGCACCGCACTCAGAACCTCACTGTGTTTGTAGCCCATTTTCTCAGTCATGTGGAGCAGAACCGTATGGTTGATCTCCTCAATGTGGATTCTGAGAGTTAAAACAAGGACATAATATGTCATAAAAGGTGAAATAAAAGCCATTTGTCTTTAAAGCATATTAGATCACTGACCCATTTAAGTAAGGAACTCTCATGTGAGGGTTGGCCAACCGCAGCCACGAGTCGGTCATCACTTGATGGATGTTGGGTCTCTTGTCGGGGTCAGGCTCTAACAGTCTCTTCAGCAGATTGACCGCAGCTGTGAACACAGAGAGGAAGCAGTGAGGACTTTGTGGCATGTTACTTTAAGTAGACAAAAAATGAAGCACGTCCTTGTCAGCGGACAGAAGGAGAAGAGACGGGTAGCTCAAATTACAACGCTTTATGATCCTTGGTCAGTCTCTACGTTTAAATGAATTATTAGGTCAAATAAATCATTATTTATTAAGTCAAACATATAATGCTGTGGCCATTATGATTCTCCTACATCTTGCATTAGTCAAGGAATGACCGCACAGCCTTGCGGTCCACAATTCTGCTTGCATATATATTCATTCAGTGTAATACAATGGTAACGGTATTTAATGCGAAGTAATTGGTGGGAGTACACAGGCTAATTTTCAGCATGTAACAGTTGCTTGTTCCTGTTTGGATGTGATCTTTGTGGTCATAAATATCTTTTTACAATTCTCAGATGGATTTCTGTCAATACCTGAAGAGATAGATGGAGGTAGAGGGTTCATATCTTTGTCCACCATCCTCTGATGCAGAGCTTTCAGGCTGAATGGCTCCACGGTGAATGGTAGGGTACCAGTCAGCATGGTGTACATGTTCACCCCTCTACAAATAAACACATATATAGTCAAATCCAGAAAAATATTACTCAATGTGAACTTGGAACATGATGCTTCAAATTTAGCAAACTCACATTGACCAGACATCCACTTTGTGCCCATATTTCTTCCTTGAGAGAATCTCTGGTGCGGCGTATGCTGGGCTGCCACACTGTGTGCTGAAGGGATCAGAGTATCCCAGAATTCCTGCACAGTTACTGAGGCCAAAATCTGTATGGAGAAACAGAGAGATGGTTGTTAATGTGTACGGGCTCATAGAGGGATTGACTTTAAATACCTTCCCACTAGGAGGGATGCAGAAGTGTACATGGCTTCCCAACAACACTAACCCTGTCTGTCACACACAACTGCTAAATAAAGGCAATGTGTTTGCCAACAGCTTAACAGAGAGGTGAGAGGTTGTTCGGTTTTAATGAGATTCTGATTACTCAGTCTTCACCGCCACATGCTAAAGATTTAATTCTTTTTATTTACATACATGTCACATCACTTTAGGTCAGAGTTCAGAAATCTTTTTTGACCAAAGAAATGCCATTTTGCCTAGAAACTTGAAATATGTTATGGTAAACTTTTCATTACCTTTGTACCCTTGATTTGTAATTGGCTGCTTTTTATGCAGAAAGCTGATAAGGGGGGTCAAATTTTTTAACGTTCATTTTTTGGTAAAGAGTGAGAGCCCTGATTTTTGAGAGACCTGGCAACATGATTTTTGATCTGGCCATAGATTCCCGGCCGCTGCTTAAGGACTTAGAACTATAAAATTCGACTGCTTTACAGCAAACATCACTTCCCTCACCCCTCTGTGGCCATTGTAGACATCCCAAGTCTCTCTGAAGTTCTGGGAGTCTCCCGCATATTGATAGCGTCTCCCTGATGCCCGCAAATTTGTTCAAATCTCCTGGAATCTAGAGCGTGCATGCGAGACAAAATATACTGCGCAGCAGAGAGGGAGAGAACGAGTGACCTTGCGAGTGTGCCTCACAAAAGCTAGTCAACCAGCCACCCCGTCAACAATCCAGTCACCAAGATATACCTCCCTGAAACGACTTCTTGCAGTTCGGGATGTCTGACATTGTTGATTCCAAAGCCGCAGCAGAAAAAAACAGCGAGCGTGCGCGTTCGAAAGTAGGTTGCGGTAGGCTAATTTATTTACGACTGCGCTAATGGACAATTCCGCTTCCAACCTGTAGGGTGACCGCAGAGGAAAAGTCCTTTGGTGTTGCTTTAAGCAGCAAACCTTGCATAATGTCAATTTCTGACAATGCTTACCGATCAGTTTTATGTTGTCCTGTTCGTCAAGTAAGAGGTTTTCAATCTTCAGGTCTCTGTTGAAAAAAAAAACAAAAAACATTGAAACAGCTTTCGTTTATAAAATCGACCAATAATAAACTATACCACAATAGTTCTTAAAAAGATTTGACGGCTCATTGTGCTCTAATAAAGACTTGTAATATTCTATATACAATGATATACATTTTCGATGACCTCACACCGTGTGACGTTTTGTTTCTCACCTGTGAACAACTCCTGCCCTGTGCAGATGCTCCACCGCCATGACTAGCTGGCGTACGTATTTCTGGGCTTCTCTTTCATCCAGCCTTTTCTTCTCATAAATGTGGTTCATGAGGTTTCCACCAGGGCAGAGCTCCATGACGAGGTAGTAGCTGTTCTCCGTCTCCAGGATGTCCAGCAGTTGGGTGATGTGTGGGTGTCGGATCATCTGCTGAATCTGTCCTTCACGCCTCAAGTTCTTTGTGACGTACGAGTCCTTTTTGGCCTTTCTCTTGTCAATCACTTTTACCGCCACCTGTGAAGATAAATAAAAAGGATAATTTGTCAGGATAGAAAACATAACAGGATTGTTTATTGGTCTTCTTACGTATGGAATTATCCTAACAGCCCTGAACAGGTGAGGTGAGCCAGACTAAGTCAGATGGGACTCTTATTTCACATTTGTCGGTCTCCTCACGTCTCCAGGGTTGAATGTTTGGCACAAGTTTCTGATGCTCCTTGATTTAAGCGCTGCTTTTGATACAGTTTGCCATGAAATATTGATCTCTAGGCTTTCTGATATTGGCATCATTGGCTGTGCTCTTTCCTGGCTCATTTTATACATCAGTGACAGAAAGTATTATATCTAAAGGGTTTAGATCTACCATTGCCTCACTTACACAGGGTGTTCCTCAAGGTTCGGTTCTTGGCCCACTATTGTTTATCATTTACATCTATCCACTCAGGGACATCAGGCATTGGATGTCTCTGAATTTCCACAAATTAAATGACAAGAAAACCGAGATATTAGTGATTGCATCTATTGCCTCAGTCAAAAGGATGGACCAGTCCTTTGAAATTGATGGAATTTATATTAAGCCTTCACCACCGATTCGTAACCTTGGGGTCTTATTCGATCAAACTCTATCATTTGGCTCTCATATTTCTTCTCTTGTTAAAAACTCCATTTTCCATCTTCGCAATATTGCTCGTTTACAATCTTTTATCACTTTGGCTGATGCTGAAACCTTAATTCATGCATTAGTCACATCACTCCTATTAGGCGTGATACGTAATACGTAATTACGTTCAAAAGGTCACGGGCGACGTAGCCAGAAGTACAGAGTCATTGTTTACAAGTTGAACGCATAGGTTGAACGTGCAAACTAACTCAAACGCCGTTTACAAAAAAAGGAATTAAAAGGTAAAACAACGATGTCGGACGATTTTGATTCTGTACTTTCGGCTACGTCGCCCGTGACCTTTTGAACGTAATTACGTTCAAAAACGTAATTACGTTACGGACGTTACAAACGCGCCTCACAGAATAGAGCAAGGCTAGCATTTGTCCTTAGAAAAGTTACATTTTTGGAATACGTTTTGAAATAACCGATCGTTTCGCATGATAAGACCCTTATTCATCGTCTGGTGTCGTTTAAAGACATTTGAAGCTGCATCTGAAACTGTTATTAACTGTCTTTTGGACCTTGGACCGTCTGGTTCCCATGTAAGTCCATTATATGGAGAAAAATCCTGGAATGTTTTTATCAAAAACCTTAATTTCTTTTCGACTGAGAAAAGAAAGACATGGACATCTTGGATGACATGGGGGTGAGTAAATTATCAGCAAAAGTTTTTTCAAAAGTGAACTAATCCTTTAATTTCAGGCCCTGCACCTGGTGACATAATGTGTTTTGCGGTAATGCGTGTTGCAGTGGCGTCATCATATCTGACTAAAATAACATGACATATAGCCTCGCTCTCACACCTTTATTTTTTTTAAGCATTTTTGGGAGAAGTAAAATTTACATGTAGTTTCAACAACCAGGCAGATGCATTTACACATGTCCAGTTTCGTCCGCAATGCAGCCCAGACCACCTGGTTTTGAGCGATCGGATTCAAATCCGTCTCGAATGCGTTTCGGGGGGCATTTACACTTGGTCTTTTCACAATCGGATATCTATCCGATCACAGAAATGCATGAAGTGGCCAAGTGTAAACGGCCCCTCTTCTATATTCTTCCCCAAGGATCCAACACAAACTGATTTTAATAAGAATAGGTATCTTCCCTTAATCCAACGGTACTGCGACTCGTGTCTGCTGTGTCAATGTGTAGTATAATTTTTATAAATTGGTATCAATTTTTAACAATGTCTATTATAGCGAACGTGTACACTGTATTTATTGAGATTGAAGAATTATATCTGTTTTACGGCTTTTTATATTTGTATTGTTCATTGTAATCTTTTATTGTTGTTCATTTTAGGTACACAATTTTAAGATCTGTCCAGGGACAACAGATGAAAAATAGCCTTTTGGCTAATTTTGGTGCATTTACAGTAATGTCAATTAATGTACACTGTCCCTGTCAAACAAATAAATACATTTATAGGCAACTTTTGAAATAAAATAGCTTTAAACTTTAATTAACATCGACGGAAAGCATTTGTATTTAGAATAAATCTCTAAATAACAAAATGAGAATTCAACACTTAGATCATAGACCGACACTGAGGGGGGTTTGACCAAAAGAAATAAGACAAGATTTAATTTTTCTTTTTAACTTTTTCACATTTTCACATTCAGACAAAATGATAAACTAGGCTATGTGGTGAATAACAAATTACTAAAATTAAACTATTACTAGCCATTTTCACAGTGTTCACAAATCTCACCTTCACGCCGGTGGTCGCATGAAGCCCCTCTCGCACTTTGGCGAACGAGCCCTCTCCCAGCTTCCTCCCGACCAGATAATTCCCAACTCTTTTCGTGTGGTAAAAGTTTCGGAGGATGTCAGCTGGAGGACCGTTGCTTAGAGACGAAGGGTGGATGTTTTTTGTGGCTACCGGAGCCTTAGCTTTCATCCCGAAAACCCTCCTGTCCGTACCCATGTCTGTTCCAGCATCGAGCATCCCTGCGCCTGTTATGTCCTCTGAATCAACTGCTACTGCTTACCAAGAGCTCAATGGGAATGAGACATCATGTTGAATGAATCCCTGTCCCTAATACTTACCTGACACACGCGCCACCCAGGGGCGGATCTAGAAAATTATTCATAGGTTGACACCAAAGCAAGTGCAAATGCGTCGTTTTTTAGATGGAACGACATACACAATTGTGTGTTCACAAATAGGCCTACAAAGTAGTCTTATCGTCTTTACTGATGATTAGTTATTGTTTTGTATTGAATATACTGTTATTGTTAAAATAACAAAATTGCATTTTCCATCATGGCACCATATTAGGCTACTCGAAGAAAAAAAACAGATTCGAAATGTTTCTGAGCTTGTATCTCTAAAGACAAGCGTTTTTATTAATATTACACTGTTTTGGTGGTAAATCACATAGTGAAAGTTAAAGAGCAACAAAAACTTTTGAATTTCAAACGTTATTGCTTACCTATAAAACAGTAGGCCTAAGGCTAAAATATTCATACTAAAAGCCACACTTATATTACACTTATTCGATCTAGCATTCAATCCCACTACTGGAACTGTGTTCAAGAAATAGGCTACATTTTATATTGATATTGAGGGTAGGTAGACACATAGATTCAGAGGCATATAGCCTAGCCTACTCTAGCCTATTACCAGCCCGTTCTCCCCAAAAGCGTCATACACTGACGCTTTTGACATTTCGTCTACATACATCCATCTGCTACTTCACTTTGCTTCACTACAGGAGCGAAATGTCGTTTTTTGTTTCTATAGAAGTCATAGTAAAGAAAAGACGTATTTCATTATAAATTTGTTAATTATTTTGGCGAAATTTCATATTCATAAATGTAAATTCAGTGCTAAAAAACCTAACTTTGTACTTTTTTTCAACGATGTTGTACACTATATTAAGCTGATTTCTGGCTCCAACAACAAAAAGGCAATCAAAACTGTCAACATATGGTCCTTTTTTTCTTTGTAATGGCCCTTATGCTTCCCCTGGCAAAACTGTTTTGTATTTATTTTAATGTCATTTTTCTGTATATTGTAATGTATATTTTGTTATTTTTTTGTACTGTTTTTTGCAAAAAAAAAAAAAAAAAAAAAAAAAACTACAGGAGCGAAATGAAATTAGCGGAAGTAGGAAGTCTGACGTAGTCAGGCGTCAATTTGAGACGCAGCCATAGATGGGACAGAAGGCGCCTCCTAGTGGTCTTACCCTAACCCCACCCCAGAACTAAACCTACCATAACCGAACAAAGCTCTGTGCGTGTACTTTGTCCACCTCTGCTGAAATGATACAACTCACTCCATAGTCCGGCTTTGTTGTAACATGGGGTGAGATGTAACATTATGGCCTGGTTTCACTTACAGGACTTAGATTAACCCAGGATTAGGCCAGTAAAGCAACTTTTTAAAATGTGCCTTTAAAAACTATTAGTGTGCATTGGGGTGGTGATGGCCCAGTGGATGAGACACATGCCTTTGGTGTGAGAGACCCGGGTTCGACTCCACTGTGAGACACCAATGTGTTCCTGAGCAAGAAACTTAACCCCTAGTTGCTCCAGAGGCGTGCGACCTCTGACATAAATAGCAATTGTAAGTTGCTTAGAATAAAAGTGTCAGCTAAATAAATAAAATGTAAATGTAAAAGCATCAGAAAAACAATGGCATGGATATATTTTAATATATGCCAGTGCAAGTTGCCTTCAGTTAAACAGCTCAAACAGACATTCGAGTCTGGGACTAGCCTTGTCTGTGAAACCGGGCCATTGATAAACTCCGGGGTAACATGAAATAAGGATTATGACAAAAAAAATGAATTTAGCAAAATTTTATTCAACACAGACTTTTTAACATAATTGGTGTGTGCAACAAAATTGAATAATATCAGCAAATGTGCATCCGCTTCAACAATAAAACGTATGTGTCACATTCATAATAAAACTGATGAATGTGTGTGTGAGAGAGAGAGAGAGAGATGTTGTTACTGTAATTAAATGTAATTGGCCATAATAAAATACTATACAATTTTGCCACAGCTATCCAACTTTCCCGGCTCTTATACATCATCTGATGATGAGAGACAGCCCTCAGTTTATTTTTCTCTTCCAAAACATAGGCATACTGAAATATTTACCTGGGGTAGGTTGTAACATGCTTCATTACTGTTAAAACTTACCCACAGTCTTCAGCCTAGCTCACTTTACAGCTAACAGACAAAACATTTGCATGTAAATTATCTACCCTATTGCTTTTTCTCTTTATATTGAATAAATGCAGGAATTGGTATTTGTGATACAGAGAAACTTGTCTCATACCCACAGGGCTGATCAAAGAACAACAGAACTTCTCCATCAGACCCTAAACCAGGTAGTTTAAAGGAAGACTATGTGCACAAATAAATGTGTGTGTGTCCTGATGCAGAATTACACCCACATGGTGGCACTGTTGTGTTAGAAAAAGTCCGGTTGTACGGTTTAGAGCACCACGCGCGCTCTGCAACTGTTGTAAACACATGCAAATAGAAAAAACACCAGCAAATAAATCGGTTTGACTACACGTGGTGCAAATACTCACAATGCAACCGAATTCAGAAACGCAAATGCTCACAACGCATCGACTCGGTTTGACCACACCACTAGCGGCCCCAGCCAGGTTCATCTACTATATTGTTGTATTCTCAATTTCTCCTTGAAACATTTCCGTGCTATTTGCAACGAGCTTCTGTATGGTTGTTGTAAGTATTTGCAGCACATATTGTCAAACTGATGAATATGTGTTCTTAATGCTGGTGTTTTTTTTAATCTTTGCATTTGTTTTCTCCAGTTGCAGACGAGCCCTCTCGGCCACCGTAAAAAGATGAACGCAACTTTGTGTGCCTACACCCAAAAATCTTGGTACGGTTTTAGTTTAAATTTGCTTTGAAAATGATTATTATTACCCTTTTTATTTACTCTCTAGAGTAAAAACAACAACAAAACACCAGTTACACTAGCCTAGACTAGTTCTCTCAGGGCTGCATATTGTTTTTTTTTTAAATATGGTACAACTAACTTCTCTAAAGAGAATTCTGACCTATTTAAAAATGCAGCTTAGTTTCACGATCCATTTATGGTCTTTAGAAAATAATATAATTCGATGCAAATTCCCTACTGAGGTGGAAAAATAGTAGCCTACACAGTAGTCTTGGAAATTAGAGTCTATAAAAGTAAAGTAGCCATATCACCTTGTATCCCAAGACTGGTTGCCCACTGAAGCAGGGCTGAGCCTGGTTAGTATCTGGATGGGAGACCTCCTGGGAAAGCCAGGTTGCTGCTGGAAGAGGTGTTAGTGAGGCCAGCAGGGGGTGCTCATTCTGTGGTCTGTTTGGGTCCTAACGCCCCACTATAGTGATGGGGACACTATACTGTTAAAAAGCACCATCCTTCGGATGAGATGTTAAACCGAGGTCCTGACTCTCTGAGATCATAATGTAACCCCGTCATCTTTGCCAAATTTGCCCTTTGGCCTCTGTCCATCATGGCCTCCTAATCATCCCCATGCGATTGGCTTCATTACTCTGTCTCCTCTCCACCTGTAAGCTTGTGTGTGGTGCCGTCACATCATCCAGGTGGATGCTGCACATTGATGGTGGTTGAGTTGATTCCCCCTTCTATGTAAAGCACTTTGAGTGCAGAAAAAAGCGCAATATAAATGTAATGAATTATTATTAAACCAAGACAATTGAATATTGGTTTAACAAAGCCTTGCTTAAAATTGAAAAGGGTTTGTCTATGTAAGTATGACTATGATATTCAGTATAGGGCTATAATGCATTTTGAATTAGAATTAAAATTTGATAATAGATGCAGTTTTCAAAATGAATACAATATGCAGTGTTCCCAATGCATTTGTGTGTATTGAAATGAAGGATTTTAAGCTTTACACTGCTATTATTTTGAACTCAACTGTACATAGATAGATGCTTTATAATTCTATCATTATAATAATAAATATAGCCTAATATGTCTGCTCCAAACATTGAGGTAAACATGTGTTGCCAAGAACATTTGGTAAATGTTGTGACTATAGTGTTTTACCACATCAACTACAGGACAGGTTTCTGTTTCCTAGCAAGAAGATTATTCCTATATTTTGTTTCTACAAGATTGGCAAAAAGTGCATTTTGAATTTGAGCACGTCCAGAGCCGGGGAAAGGATTTTTGATGATGCCTTTCATTTTCTCAGGTGAGGTTTTTTCTTTTCGTCTGTTTCCCAGCCTCTTACTTTTATATCTTCAGTTGCTCGCTGATGGATATTTTATATTTGGAAGAATGAATTTATCATTGCTAATTAGCTGAATTCCCATCCCATGTCTTAAGTAGAAGTTTTTGAATCAAATCTCACCTCCCGTGAGTCACTCTAGATAATAAGGCCCTAATCGCCTCTTCTCTTTTTAACTTTTACTAGAGCCAATCGTCCTTATGAGTTTTGGCTTATTTCGAAAGTTTGAGAGACTTTTGGTTTTCTGGCTTATTAAAGACCAGTGGGGTGTCGGGAAGGGGAGGATTGGGGCTGTTGGGCGGCAAGGTTTCCAGCTCAAACCACTCTATCTGACACATCAGCCTTGCTTATTAACCACCGTGGCGTGTGCTGTGCTGGGGCAGGGATAGACCTGCTGACTGGCTGTGACCCTGGCATTAGAAGCATTTTTACTGCCTGAATTCAGAAAGCCGCATTTATTTCCACTTAATTGTCATAATCATAATACAGTTCCTCACTATTGGCAGTATAGCTGGCACTCAAGTTTGGGCAGTGTGCTTGTCCCTCCTTCAAAAGTGCAGCAGTCAGGAAACCTTCAAAGGTTATGTTGAATAATAATGCTTTATTCAACAATTATTTAGTTGGGTTTTGATAATGGCACACTTTGTTTTATTTGAAGACCTTGCTGTGCATGCTCTCAGACAAGAGCAAGAAAAGAGAGCAGTGAGGTCATTCAGAACGCCCTAATATGGAAATGGTTTGCCATTTTACATTTTTTTTTGGCATTATTAGTCAACAAAAGACACTAATTTTTGCATTATTCCTTTGGTTATGCAAGGACTGCGGAAATTACACACTTAACTTTTAACTTTTCATACTATGTGATTAGAAAATTGTCAAGACTCACAGTGTTCTTTAAAAACTGGTCGTTTTTGTTTTAGTGCAGACTGACTTCTCGGTGGAAGTTAACAGCCTAGTACTCTGAAAATGTAACATTAAAGATATGATATAAGAAGTTTGAAAATATATGATAAAGATATAAGTTTGAAAGCTTTCCTATAATAGAACAAAATGGATGTTTTTAAAACTGTGAGTCAAGTGGGGTGTTTAATGTTCTTAACATCCTTGTCCCCACTCTCACAAATGTTGTCTTCTTGATATCCCACCTGCTCAATTTTCCAACACATTCAGAATAACCTCAAAAACT